CAAAGTCAGGTTGTAGTTTCCAGTTCATCTCGTCCTTTGTCTGAATTATCAGCTTCAGAATCTGCCTCATCATCTGCCTCATCATCTGCTTCATCATCTGCCTCATCATCTGCTTCATCATCTGCTTCATCATCTGCTTCATCATCTGCTTCATCATCTGCTTCATCATCTGCTTCATCATCTGCAAGCTCTGCATCAGTTACAGAAAGTGATCATGAGCTTATGCCACCACCTTCAATAACTTCTTCTGGTTCCTTCCGTCGGCGATCTGACTTACGTGTTGAAATCCCTCCAGCTCCATCACCTAGAAGAGACATCAGCATGGAATCTGTTCCAGAGTCAGAAGACGAGCCTGAAACTCCATTTGTACAGGTCCCAACCGTTCTCAACAAGTACAAAAAAGTTGAATGTCCAAGACTTGCTTGTATTTTTGGATGTCGATGGCCTGGACGATTGAATGCTCGTAATCTTTTTATAACTGAGCGAATCTATTTGCTGAAGAAAAAAAATATTTACATCCCAGAAAACTCTCGGATGTGTAAGCATCACGATTTTTTCACTGATATTGAGAACATCGATCAAATATATCTGACTCGTCAATTCACTGTTGAGGATATTGAGGATGTTTTTTCTTTCCCCAGTAAGATACAAGAACGTTTTACCTTTAGACGCTGTGATGATATCCCTGATGAGATCTCACGAAGATGGACTTCTCTCACAATGAGACAACTTGTTGAACTTGCTGGTGAAGTTACATTAGATAGTGAGATTCAATTCCCAGAGAGAGCGATAGCTTGTTACCTTGCTAAGCTTAGAACTGGTGATACATGGGAAAGAATCTTTGATGTAGTTGGTATTCCTTTTTCAACTGGTCATCGGTACGTCACAATGTAACCATAGTAACCTAGTCACGTGTGTCAATAGAACTTTTAGCGCGCTTTTCAAATACATTGTAAAATAAAGTTCTTGAAAGCCCCATTTAAATCATTTTGAAAGTTTATTCAATATTAAAAACATGATATAGATTATAAAAAACATATAATCTGATTGTTGAATATCATTTCTACTAGTTTCATCACTTAAACCATATCTTTTCAACTTCTGTATTGCATTTAACAGATGTTCCAGAAAAACGCTTTAAAATCATTATTTCGAGCAAATCAAAACTCCAAACTCATTTTAATAGTGTTTTTATATCATAAGTAATCTACCAGAATTCGAAAAGTAAAGTTCTTCCATGTTTAGAATTTGTCTATGGGATTTTACATGTATTTTGAGCCTCGGATCGTTTAAAACTTTTCTATAATATGATAGATATCGCAAATGTTTTAATTCATTTTTGTAGACCCATATTAGAGTATGTTATAAAAAAAGTTTCATTGACCTAAGATCAGTATTCAACGATCGCGGACTAATCGTCCGATTTTTTTCGAACCAGAATAGAACCGAAACTATTCATCACAGACTAATGTTAACTATATCGATCGATAGGTCTTATAAAGGTCTATCTAAATCTCGAATATCGTAGTGATCTGAAAATCCCCAGGTCACCACAATATAGCGAAGTTGCGCACTTTGGCCTTAAATATCTCCCGTTTTTGAGTTCAGAAATAAAAACCGATGATATTTTTGAATAGCCACTATCAAACTCTATTACCAAAAAAAAGTTGGATCCTTAACTAAAAAGGATAAAAAAGTGAAGAAAATGGGAGACCCTCCTTTGGCAAACTTCTATGCAAACCTCTTTTTTGGCCGTGAGAAGGAAGGAACGACTCAAACACATGAGCCATCAAGTTGTCCCACGGAAAATGCGCAACGACAAAGTCACAATCAGGACCCTTCCTCCTCGGTGACACTGTCGCAGTTACGACATGTCATTAGCACTTTTGGGAGCAGGAAAGCACCAGGCCCTGATGGGATAACGTCAGAAATCTATAAAAAACTTGACGACGAAAATTTGAAAATCCTGAGCCTCTTTTTCACTGAATGTCTACGTTTCTCATACTTCCCTAAGCTTTTCAAAGAATCTATTACTGTGCTTATTCCAAAAACAGGAGTAGATCCAATGACGCCCAAATCGTGTAGACCTATCGGTCTACTGTCACATCTTGGCAAAATCTTGGAAAGATAATCTTGCTAAAAATGCAAAAGTGGCTCGATGAAACACTTTCAAAGAATCAATTTGGCTTCATACAAGGAAAGTCGACTATCGATGCTGTATCGGCATTAAACGCAAGGCTCAACACAAATAGCAAGCGCCAAATCCCAACTGTTATGATTTCCTTCGATATCGAGGGAGCCTTTGACAATGTGAGATGGGAAGATATAATAAAGGTCCTGAATGCAAGAGGAGCTCCGGAAGTAGTCCAAAAAATTATGAAGTCATACCTTGAGGAAAGGTATACGACACTAATCTATGGTCACTCTAACTGCAAAATCAGAAACCACAAAGGGGCGGTTCAAGGCTCCTGTCTAGGCCCGACACTCTGGAACCTCATCATCAACGAGTATTTACTTGATTCTGAACATCGTTTGAGAAACTCGAACCTCTCGGTTCTAGCGTATGCCGATGATGTGACTATCGTAGGTGATATCACAAACAAAAACACCCAGGACAATTTTCAACAGATCGAAAATGAACTGAAAGAGATAGAGAGATGGTCAAATGCCTTTGATCTTAAATTCTCAACGTTGAAAACAAAGATGATGTGGATGCAAATGAAAAACAAGAAGATTCAGAAAAAAGGGTTTAAACTATACGACAAAGAAATCGTTAACACCACCAACATGAAGATACTTGGTGTTGTCTTTGATGATCGGTACACTTGGAGAAATCATATCACTCAACTTAAACAGAAAATGATCAAAATAACATCGCAATCTCGGAGATTCCTTGGCCACCCTAAACCTTGCTTATCTCTCCTGAGAATTATCCATGATGCCGTTCTCGTTCCGAAAATGACATACGCCTTGAGCATCATTAGTCAGAAGGTGTCAGTAGAAATTGAGAAAATGTTAACGTCAATGCATAGAAAGATTCTTCTGACAATCTCTGGTGCCTACTGTACGACACCCTACTCAACACTGTGCACACTAATGGATGTCATACCTATCCATATACAGATAAAGAGACTCTTCTCAGGTACTCATACCTAGGAGGAGGGAGCCCTCAGGATGTTCTGGGTATTTTGGCTGACAGGACAATTGAGACCCGATTCAACCAGAGCTTCTGTGAAATTGCGATGAAGTCAGTAAGCACATTAAGTGCGAAATCGAAACAGAAACGCAATTAGAACAAATAATCTCTGAAGATCCGAGAATCACTTATCTCTGTTATACGGACGGCAGTAAGAAGGAAAACCGTTGCGGGTATGCAATCTACGTCACTGACAAAAACCATGAGAAGAAGATGGAGCGGACGGAGCCACTTTTCGAATATGCTGACGTCTTTCAGGCAGAAGCTTTAGCCATTTTACTGACACTTGAAACACTTCAAAGCAAAACGAGAAGAGGAGATAAAATTGTCATTTTTACTGATTCGCAAACAATTGTCAATCAGCTGAGGTCAACTAGGCTTGGTCATCCAATAACTCAGAAAATAAGGCATAAAGTGGTTGAAATCGCTGGGGAAGAAAAAGATATTGACGTCTACAAAATAAAATCTCACTCGGGCATCAGGGGTAGTGACGAAGCTGATAAACTTGCTAAAAGAGCATTGGTATCGAAGAAGAGGGTCAAGTATGACGAGATCTCCCGGGAATACATCAAGAATAAAATAGAAGAATATGTAACAAATGAGACTAGAGTTTTCCTGGAAAGTAGGAGATCGGCAAATTTACTTGTTACAATTCCAAACAACTGGCTCAGTAAACCCTATCAGGATCATCTATGTAAAGAATCTTTTTGGCTCCTAAGCGGACATGGGCCCTTCGGTGAATACCTAAAGAGAATGAAGATCAAAGATCAAACGAAATGTCTATGTGGCGAATACAATGTGTCGAACCTTCATGTTCTTACTAAGTGTAGCAAATTCCTGAGTACGGTAACCGAATATCTGGAACTCAACGAGCACTCAACAGTAAATGACGAACATGGGAGAAAAGTCTTAGATGCTATATTGATCAAAATGAAAGAAAATGCACTAAACCCTATCAACCAACTGTCTCAGGAAATACATCGTATGATTCAGAGTTTTGGACAAGAGGATGATGCAAATGATGAAACAAATGATGAAACAATCATAATCGATGAAACCACTGAAAATGGATCTACAGATGACACTTTACACTTAGCACCAAATGAAATGTGAGTGATCTTTCATCTATGCGCGTCGCCTTACAGGGGTATAATAAATAGTTCAAATACTTCAGTCAAATACTGAAACAAGATCACTTTAAACACTTGAAAATTGAAACCTTAATTGTTTAGAATCAAGCTGATACTAAAACAAAGGGCTTGAAAAAGCTTATTAGAGAAATTTCAGAGAAACAACTCTATTAAACACATGACTTGATTTGGCTTCAAAAAGCAAATAAGCTTTTTAAAACATTCAAATTAGAATCCCTTTAAATCCTTCTAATTATAACCCGAAGGTAATGTTTGTCTCAAATTTTAAAGGGAAAGAGTGAAAGATAAGCTTTCTCTCTTTCCTCAACAGCTGTTGACCAGTTGCTAAGACAACGCTCACGTGACTCCCTTCTCTCCTTTTAAAAATTTTTTCCCACGATTAATTTTCGTTCAAACTTAAACGTGTTCTTACCCTTACCAGTAGTTTCAATCATCTTTTAACCCTTGACTTGAAAGCCTATTTAAAATCTTATTTCAGTCTGAACCCTCTCCATATAATTGTGTTTTAATTCCTACAACCCTGATTTCAAATCTTAACCTCTCCCAACCATTTACCTTCTTGACACCAAACTCTCCTTCCTAAAAGTGAAGTGTAGTTAGTCAGTGAGTGTTGGGAAATAGAACAAAAAATTCTTTCTTTTAAATTCAACTATATGGATAATATTGACTGGAGTCCAGCAATTTCAATTAGCGAATTTAAACCGGACAATTATTCTGACTCTGACGAAACCAGTGAAAGTGATAAGTGCCTTGAAATTCAAATGGATGTCAGCGACAACGAAGATTCTCTTTCCGTCTTTTTCGATAAGGGTCATGAAGAACCTCAATCACCAATGACAAATGACAGACGAAATGAACCATTGAGAATAAATCAACAAATACCAAATGTGCAGGTACTGACACCTAAATGGAAAAGCATCATTACCATGAGAAGATTCAGTGAAATGAGTATGGAAACGGACTCAATTGACAACATGTCGACGCGGCTCTTATTAAATCAAGACGATTACCAACTATCTCAAGAGGTGTCAACGCCAAGAAACTCCGTGTCATCGATCTCCTTTTCCCCAGCTCATACATCGATAAAAACAGTCTTTCAAATGCCAAATCCTGTTGAATCTGGAATCTCAACCGCTAACGCGGCGAAGTTAACTAATGAGACTAATGATGTGAACCCAAAGGACACTTCTTCTAATATAAATTATGATGCCTCAACTAGTAAGCTTGAGAATGTTGGTTCTGCTGGCGACAAATCTCAACTACAAGGGAAAACATTGGAAGGTGAAGAGGAAATTGCCGAAGAAGAAACCCGGAGACTTAAAAAAGAATCTGATACCCTTTATCAAAAGACCAAGATGCTCTACGAAGAAATCAAAGCTGAAAAAGCAGCCGTTATGAAAGAAAAACTTGAAACACCGAAGCCCATCTTGGATCACTTCGTAGATTATGATTCTGAGAATACAGATGATGAGGACTTCAGTGGAGATTACTATGAAAAGCATCTTAAATATATCGAGTTCCATAAGAAAAAGTCAGTCTACAGGAAGAAAAGGAGTGCAATCATTAAATGGATGAAGTTAGGATGGGAAGTTAAAGCAAGAGAAGATATGAAACGTGCGGTCATTGGTCCGAGTTCCATGACTGGCCAAGGAAATCCAATTGTTGGTGATAGTTCGGATGAATTGCTCCATGGAAATTACGACAAGTTAATATCTCTTCTTACCAAGAGCTTTGAAAATTTATCCAGTAACTCCTGTTCGCTTCAAGAAAGACAGCTACTTACTCTTGGAGAGAAAGTTTTAGAGTCAATTGAAACTAAAATGGGTAAAGTTGTTGAACAGCTTCTAGATGTATACGGCAGAAAAACCGATGGTAAAGAAAACAAGTCGAAACAAGACTGCCAACAAGAGGAAGATCGAGCTAAAAACCATCCCGCTGATGTAGATAATGAAGACGATGGCAATAATCATGATGAACACCCCAAAGATCAAATGACTGACACCTCTGACCTTCTCAAATTACGAGACCAGTCGACTCTTACCACTGATGAAGAGAGAGTTTTTATTGACAAGTCAATCAACACCGAGTGTCACCCATTATTGACACCTCAGGAAAAACTCTTAACAAAGTCGACTCAAGTCAGTGTCTACGATATGATAAACTGGGATTCATCTGAAGACCCAAGTCCACTTGACGTACTCTTCGCAACGTCAAATCCATCTGGTGTGATCACTTTAAAAGACTTGGTGAAGTTAACTAATAAACTGCAGAAACAGATAAAGGAGATACAAGAGAACGTTAGTTCATATTCCGATAGAGTGATAATTGGCAAAACGTCTTGGGACGAAAATCTTCTTGGCGACACTGTTGAAAACATCGATCAGATAATGGAAATCTTAATCATAGATAAAGCTGAAAATGGAAAAATCAGCGATGATACGGCTATTAGGATTTCAAATGAGTTTCTTGATGAAGAAATTGAGGATAGACTGAACAATCCTCCGAAAGTAATCACGATCTCTGCTCCTATTATTAAAACAACGAGGGACGCTCGCCAGGAGGCATTTTCTACCGACCTGGTGGATACGTGTGAGGTGGAAAATAATTGTTATGAGACGCCATTTCCGTACACTCAGAAGACCTTTCGAGAGTGTCACGCCAGATAAAGAAATTGGTAGACCTCGACTACCTTCATTCCTTGTTTCGAGCTCAAGTGAAGATGAAATTGAAAAGACAGGCCAAGCCGAGGCGCTAGAGACAAGAGACACCAGCACAAAGAAACACCAAATAATTCAGCTTCCTTACCATCTCCAAAAGTGTCACAAACCCCTGACAGCCCTTATAAACTGATCTCAACTTCAGCGTCGGAGGTTAACTCTAAATGTGCCAGTGAAAAGATGGAACGTCAGCTCAGCAAAAAATCCACTTGGCAGTCAGTTAAGAAACCTTTGCTTACATCAGATACCGAGAAACCTAATACTGACCCTTCGAATGAAGTAAATAATACCCAAGAGGAGTCAAATGATCTCCATGACGCGAGCCAATTGAAGAAAAAGATAAAGGAAATGAGAGTCTCACTGGCGGTTGTGACGGGTACGAGCAAAAAACGTCCTCGTAGCCCATCAGCGGAAAAAGACAATGATTTAATTCAGTCAAAAAAGCAAAGTAAAAATCGGGAACAGACTGAATCTGTTGGTAACTCTGGTGTCGGTGAAACATCTAAGCCTCAGCCCCAAAGTAAAATCTCAAACCCTGTTGCGAGTAACAATCCAAAACCCTTACAACAGAATAAAGTCACAACAGGTAGCATAGTGAATATTGCAAAGCTTCAGCTTCAATCCCAATCAACCAAAACACAAAGTAATAGCATGAATGTTACTCCTAAAAAAGTCAGTCCTGATCATGTACCCACAACTCCGCAACCAAACAAAGCGAAGAACGTCACTCTTAAAACTAAGCCAATTGACAAAGGTAAAAAGGTTGTTGGCATGATGAAAACAAAGGCCAGCAAGAAATCGTATCCAGAGACTGATGAAGATTCTATTGACAGCGAAGACGACTGGCTTGGGGACAAAGTGAAACTCACCCCAACAAAGAACGAGGCAAAGGCAACCAGGAGTAAAGCTGAACCACTTGTAGAGTCAGAATGTAAGGGTCGATTACTGCCTCTACAATGAACTAGCTGTAAATGGGTCCAATCTAGTCCGTCATCGACGTATATATCATACAGATGAAGAGACTCGAAAGCTTCAAGTTCTCGCTGAGAAAGTTGTTATTACTCAACGAGTTTTCGAAGAGACTCAGCTCAGATGGAAAACCTTTTTAGATCTTGCACGGATTGTGAGAAAGATGTCAGAATATTCTGAACCATCAACACAAAAGAAAATCTTTCGTCGTATTCAACGGACAGTTTCTCAAGCCGAGGAAAACCAACTCAAATTTCTAGTCTTCGATAAAACAAATGGACAAGTAATTGTTGACGAAAACAGCGAATAAATTTTAAACAATAATTGTGAAACCCTCTTTATCTTATAATCAACAATTCTGCCAAGACCTTTTAATCATCTCTTTAGAATCCCAATATCTTTTATATCTCAAACAAATCTTTAACTAAAAGCAATATCTTATTCCAAATCAATAAATGATTCAATTAACTAACTGCCAAATATCAAGTCATGTGTTTAAATCAGTGTTTGTATGAGGTAATAAAGTGAATACTGAGTAGGGTCAGGTGTTTCATAACCTAACTTATCACCTCACGGCGACGCGCGAATCGTAGGCAAATGGGTTAATGCCTGCACATTCAAAGCAGAAAGAAATGATCTAATACCCATGAGCCTAAGAAGATGAAAGGTTACAAAGTTCAAAAGAACTACAAATACAACATTAACTTTAAATCATACATGATACTCTTACATTTACAATTACGTTACAATTATCTTCCTCAATCCTAACTCCTAAATAGCAAACGTAGGTTGTAAAGACCACAGCACATTGAGAGACTTGGTTGCGCTGCTGGGGTGTCGGCGGGATGTTGCCTGAAAGTGTCGGAGACACTTTGTGTGTTGATGTCACTGGAAAGTGTCAGAGACATTCGAATGTCGAAGTCACTTGAGAGTGTCGGAGACATCTGGGTGTTAATGGCACTGGAAAGTGTCAGAGACATTTGAGTGTCGACGCCGCTTGAGAGTGTCGAAGGCATCTGAGTGTTAATGTCACTGGAAAGTGTCAGAGACATTTGAGTGTCGACGTCGCAGAGTGTCGGAGACATTTGAGTGTTAATGGCACTGGAAAGTGTCAGAGACATTTGAATGTCGAAGTCACTTGAGAGTGTCGGAGACATCTGGGTGTTAATGGCACTGGAAGTGTCAGAGACATTTGAATGTCGAAGTCACTTGAGAGTGGAGACATCTGGTGTTAATATCACTGGAAAGTGTCAGAGACGCTTGAGTGTCGACGTCGCTTGAGAGTGTCGGAGACATTTGAGTGTTAATGTCACTGGAAAGTGTCAGAGACATTTGAATGTCGAAGTCACTTGAGAGTGTCGGAGACATCTGGGTGTTAATGGCACTGGAAAGTGTCAGAGACATTTGAATGTCGAAGTCACTTGAGTGTCGGAGACATCTGTGTTAATATCACTGAAAGTGTCAGAGACGCTTGAGTGTCGACGTCGCTTGAGAGTGTCGGAGACATTTGAGTGTTAATGGCACTGGAAAGTGTCAGAGACATTTGAATGTCGAAGTCACTTGAGTGTCGGAGACATCTGGGTGTTAATGGCACTGGAAGTGTCGGAGACATTTGAGTGTCGACGTCACTTGAGAGTGTCGGGGACATTGAGTGTCGACGTCGCTTGAGAGTGTCGAGACATTTGAGTGTTAATGCCACTGAAAGTGTCAGAGACAGTTGAGTGTCGACGTCGCTTGAGAGTGTCGGAGACGCTTGAGTGTTAATGTCACTGGAAAGTGTCAAAGACGGTTGAGTGTCGACGTCGCTTGAGAGTGTCGGAGACGCTTGAGTGTTAATGTCACTGGAAAGTGTCAGAGACATTTGGGTGTCGACGTCGCTTGAGAGTGTCGGAGACATTTGTGTGTTGATGTCACTTGAAGGTGTCTGAGACGCATGGGTTGTCGATGTCACTGGAAGGTGATACCTGTATGCCTGTTGCTTTGAGCTGAGCTTTCCGACTGTCTCTGTGATGTTGTGGTCTTCCCTTAACTTTACATATCAGTAACCTGTACATACTAACAAGTGCCATACTTAGATTATAATTCATGTAACACTTAACAAACAGTGACGTACACCTTGTACGTCACTAGAATATGTAACCAGAGTCGGTTCCTTTGTGTGAACCGACACTCATAAATATTAAATAAAGAGTTTTATGCAATTCAAAAAAAAAAAAAAAAAAAAAAAAACCTAACCTAACCTAACCTAACTTCTTCTTACAACCTAACCTAACCTTCAACTAACCTAACCTAATCTAACCTAACCTAACCTAACCTAACCTAACCTAACCTAACCTAACCTAACCCAACTTCTTCTTCCTACCTAACCTAACCTAACTTCTTCTAACCTAACTTCTTCCTCCTAACCTAACCGGCGAAGTTAACTAATGAGACTAATGATGTGAACAAGGACACTTCTTCTAATATAAATTATGATGCCTCAACTAGTAAGCTTGAGAATGTTGGTTCTGCTGGCGACAAATCTCAACTACAAGGAAAACATTGGAAGGTGAAGAGGAAATTGCAGAAGAAGACCCGGAGACTTAAAAGAATCTGATACCCTTTATCAAAAGACCAAGATGCTCTACGAAGAAATCAAAGCTGAAAAGCAGCCGTTATGAAAGAAAACTTGAAACACGAAGCCCATCTTGGATCACTTCGTAGATTATGATTCTGAGAATACAGATGATGAGGACTTCAGTGGAGATTACTATGAAAAATCTTAAATATATCGAGTTCCATAAGAAAAGTCAGTCTACAGGAAGAAAAGGAGTGCAATCATTAAATGGATGAAGTTAGGATGGGAAGTTAAAGCAAGAGATATGAAACGTGCGGTCATTGGTCCGAGTTCCATGACTGGCCAAAATCAATTGTTGGTGATAGATGAATTGCTCCATGGAAATACGACAAGTTAATATCTCTTCTTACCAAGAGCTTTGAAAATTTATCCAGTAACTCCTGTTCGCTTCAAGAAAGACAGCTACTTACTCTTGGAGAGAAAGTTTTAGAGTCAATTGAAACTAAAATGGGTAAAGTTGTTGAACAGCTTCTAGATGTATACGGCAGAAAAACCGATGGTAAAGAAAACAAGTCGAAACAAGACTGCCAACAAGAGGAAGATCGAGCTAAAAACCATCCCGCTGATGTAGATAATGAAGACGATGGCAATAATCATGATGAACACCCAAAGATCAAATGACTGACACCTCTGACCTTCTCAAATTACGAGACCAGTCGACACCACTGATGAAGAGAGAGTTTTTATTGAGTCAATCAACACCGAGTGTCACCCATTATTGACACCTCAGGAAAAACTCTTAACAAAGTCGACTCAAGTCAGTGTCTACGATATGATAAACTGGGATTCATCTGAAGACCCAGTCCACTTGACGTACTCTTCGCAACGTCAAATCCATCTGGTGTGATCACTTTAAAGACTTGGTGAAGTTAACTAATAAACTGCAGAAACAGATAAAGGAGATACAAGAGAACGTTAGTTCATATTCCGATAGAGTGATAATTGGCAAAACGTCTTGGGACGAAAATCTTCTTAACACTGTTGAAAACATCGATCAGATAATGGAAATCTTAATCATAGATAAAGCTGAAAATGGAAAAATCAGCGATGATACGGCTATTAGGATTTCAAATGAGTTTCTTGATGAAGAAATTGAGGATAGACTGAACAATCCTCCGAAAGTAATCACGATCTCTGCTCCTATTATTAAAACAACGAGGGACGCTCGCCAGGAGGCATTTTCTACCGACCTGGTGGATACGTGTGAGGAGGTGGAAAATAATTGTTATGAGACGCCATTTCCGTACACTCAGAAGACCTTTCGAGAGAGTGTCACGCCAGATAAAGAAATTGGTAGACCTCGACTACCTTCCATTCCTTGTTTCGAGAGCTCAAGTGAAGATGAAATTGAAAAGACAGGCCAAGCCGAGGCGCTAGAAGACAAGAGACACCAGCTGTCACCCAAAGAAACACCAAATAATTCAGCTTCCTTACCATCTCCAAAAGTGTCACAAACCCCTGACAGCCCTTATAAACTGATCTCAACTTCAGCGTCGGAGGTTAACTCTAAATGTGCCAGTGAAAAGATGGAACGTCAGCTCAGCAAAAAATCCACTTGGCAGTCAGTTAAGAAACCTTTGCTTACATCAGATACCGAGAAACCTAATACTGACCCTTCGAATGAAGTAAATAATACCCAAGAGTCAAATGATCTCCATGACGCGAGCCAATTGAAGAAAAGATAAAGGAGAGAGTCTCACTGGTTGTTGGGTACGAGCAAAAACGTCCTCGTAGCCCATCAGCGGAAAAAGACAATGATTTAATTCAGTCAAAAAGCAAAGTAAAAATCAGGAACAGACTGAATCTGTTGGTAACTCTGGTGTCGGTGAAACATCTAAGCCTCAGCCCCAAAGTAAAATCTCAAACCCTGTTGCGAGTAACAATCCAAAACCCTTACAACAGAATAAAGTCACAACAGGTAGCATAGTGAATATTGCAAAGCTTCAGCTTCAATCCCAATCAACCAAAACACAAAGTAATAGCATGATGTTACTCTAAAAGTCAGTCCTGATCATGTACCCACAACTCCGCAACCAAACAAAGCGAAGAACGTCACTCTTAAAACTAAGCCAATTGACAAAGGTAAAAAGGTTGTTGGCATGATGAAAACAAAGGCCAGCAAGAAATCGTATCCAGAGACTGATGAAGATTCTATTGACAGCGAAGACGACTGGCTTGGGGACAAAGTGAGGAAACTCACCCCAACAAAGAACGAGGCAAAGGCAACAACCAGGAGTAAAGCTGAACCACTTGTAGAGGTCAGAATGTGTAAGGTCGATTACTGCCTCTACAATGAACTAGCTGTAAATGGGTCCAATCTAGTCCGTCATCGACGTATATATCATACAGATGAAGAGACTCGAAAGCTTCAAGTTCTCGCTGAGAAAGTTGTTATTACTCAACGAGTTTTCGAAGAGACTCAGCTCAGATGGAAAACCTTTTTAGATCTTGCACGGATTGTGAGAAAGATGTCAGAATATTCTGAACCATCAACACAAAAGAAAATCTTTCGTCGTATTCAACGGACAGTTTCTCAAGCCGAGGAAAACCAACTCAAATTTCTAGTCTTCGATAAAACAAATGGACAAGTAATTGTTGACGAAAACAGCGAATAAATTTTAAACAATAATTGTGAAAACCCTCTTTTATCTTATAATCAACAATTCTGCCAAGACCTTTTAATCATCTCTTTAGAATCCCAATATCTTTTATATCTCAAACAAATCTTTACAACTAAAAGCAATATCTTATTCCAAATCAATAAATGATTCAATTAACTAACTGCCAAATATCAAGTCATGTGTTTAAATCAGTGTTTGTATGAGGTAATAAAGTGAATACTCTTGAGTAGGGTCAGGTGTTTCATAACCTAACTTATCACCTCACGGCGACGCGCGAATCGTAGGCAAATGGGTTAATGCCTGCACATTCAAAGCAGAAAGAAATGATCTAATACCCATGAGCCTAAGAAGATGAAAGGTTACAAAGTTCAAAAGAACTACAAATACAACATTAACTTTAAATCATACATGATACTCTTACATTTACAATTACGTTACAATTATCTTCCCTCAATCCCTAACTCCTAAATAGCAAACGTAGGTTGTAAAGACCACAGCACATTGAGAGACTTGGTTGCGCTGCTGGGGTGTCGGCGGGATGTTGCCTGAAAGTGTCGGAGACACTTTGTGTGTTGATGTCACTGGAAAGTGTCAGAGACATTCGAATGTCGAAGTCACTTGAGAGTGTCGGAGACATCTGGGTGTTAATGGCACTGGAAAGTGTCAGAGACATTTGAGTGTCGACGCCGCTTGAGAGTGTCGAAGGCATCTGAGTGTTAATGTCACTGGAAAGTGTCAGAGACATTTGAGTGTCGACGTCGCTTGAGAGTGTCGGAGACATTTGAGTGTTAATGGCACTGGAAAGTGTCAGAGACATTTTGAATGTCGAAGTCACTTGAGAGTGTCGGAGACATCTGGGTGTTAATGGCACTGGAAAGTGTCAGAGACATTTGAATGTCGAAGTCACTTGAGAGTGTCGGAGACATCTGAGTGTTAATATCACTGGAAAGTGTCAGAGACGCTTGAGTGTCGACGTCGCTTGAGAGTGTCGGAGACATTTGAGTGTTAATGTCACTGGAAAGTGTCAGAGACATTTGAATGTCGAAGTCACTTGAGAGTGTCGGAGACATCTGGGTGTTAATGGCACTGGAAAGTGTCAGAGACATTTGAATGTCGAAGTCACTTGAGAGTGTCGGAGACATCTGAGTGTTAATATCACTGGAAAGTGTCAGAGACGCTTGAGTGTCGTCGCTTGAGAGTGTCGGAGACATTTGAGTGTTAATGGCACTGGAAAGTGTCAGAGACATTTGAATGTCGAAGTCACTTGAGAGTGTCGGAGACATCTGGGTGTTAATGGCACTGGAAAGTGTCGGAGACATTTGAGTGTCGACGTCACTTGAGAGTGTCGGGGACATTTGAGTGTCGACGTCGCTTGAGAGTGTCGGAGACATTTGAGTGTTAATGCCACTGGAAAGTGTCAGAGACAGTTGAGTGTCGACGTCGCTTGAGAGTGTCGGAGACGCTTGAGTGTTAATGTCACTGGAAAGTGTCAAAGACGGTTGAGTGTCGACGTCGCTTGAGTGTCGGAGACGCTTGAGTTAATGTCACTGGAAGTGTCAGGACATTTGGGTGTCGACGTCGCTTGGAGTGTCGGAGACATTGTGTGTTGATGTCACTTGAAGGTGTCTGAGACGCATGGGTTGTCGATGTCACTGGAAGGTGATACCTGTATGCCTGTTGCTTTGAGCTGAGCTCCGACTGTCTCTGTGATGTTGTGGTCTTCCTTAACTTTACATATCAGTAACCTGTACATACTAACAAGTGCCATACTTAGATTATAATTCATGTAACACTAACAAACAGTGACGTACACCTTGTACGTCACTAGAATATGTAACCAGAGTCGGTTCCTTTGTGAGAACCGACACCTAAATATTAAATAGAGTTTTATGCAATTCAAAAAAAAAAAACCCAAACCTAACTAACCTAACCTAACCTAACCAAACAACCTAACCTAACCTAACCTAACCTAACCTAACACCTAACCTAACCTAACCTAACCTAACCTGGCCTAACCTAACCTAACCTGGCCAACACCAACCTAACCTAACCTAACCTAACCTAACCTAACCTGGCCTAACCTGGCCTGGCCTAACCTAACCTAACCACAACAACCTGGCCTGGCCTGGCCTAACCTAACCTGGCCTGGCCTAACCTGGCCTGGCCTGGCCTAACCTGGCCTGGCCCAACTGCTTCAACCTAACCTGGCCTGGCCTAACACAACCTAACCTAACCCAACCAACCTACTTCTTCTTCCTAACCTTCTAACCCTAACCTAACCTAACCTAACCTAACCTAACCTAACCTAACTAACTAACTAACCTAACCTAACCTAACTAACCTAATAACTAACACAACTAACCTAACCTAACCTAACCTAACCTAACCTAATAACCTAACCTAACTAACCTAACCTAACCTAACCTAACCTAACCTAACCTAACCTAACCTAACATAACCTAACCTAACCTAACCTAACCTAACCTAACCTAACCTAACCTAACCTAACCTAACCTGACTCTTGACGTGAGTGTCACGCTTTTGAAGAGCTCCTGGAAAGTTTTTACTTCTTGTCTTGTGTCCTTTTCTTTACCTGCTTTACCCAAGCAACCACCCTACCCACCCAACCAACCAAAGTGCCTACCCACCCTACCAACCACCCTTAACAACCAACAGTGTCCAACATGGCAACCCGCAACACCCGCAGCTCAAGCAAACCACCAACCTCGCAAAGTGAACTAGTGCCAATAGTGAAACTAATGCGATGTGACCAGCAAAAACAGCTATACAAACCGCCCAGACAACCCAACCAGCCAAAGCAACCATTCAACCAACCAAACCCAAAACACCTCTGTGCATCTCTCCTAGTGGCCTCACAACCCTGATTGAAAAAGCAACCACTCCACCCAACACAAAACAGCCACCAACTACAACCAAACAGCAAACCACACCACCACCGCAAACATCAACCCCCACAACCGACAAAACAGCTCAAGCAACCAACCCACCCACACCAAGTGCAGTAGACAACCCTCCCTCAGGCTTAGATATCATCAGAAATAATGCTTTAAAAATCAGGGAAACCATGACCAACATCCAGAACATCAAAAAAGAGGCTAAAGAAACAATCCTTGAAAGCGTTCAATCCATCCTCTCAGAAGTTTTCAAACAACAAACCGAAGCCATCCCCCCAACCAATGCAACCAATATAGCTCAGGAAATTGTTAAGCAGGTACTCCAGCAACTAAACACACCAAGCACACAAACCAGCCAACCCAAGCAACCGACAGCACTAAACTTCAAACCAACCAAAAACAGCTACGCCAATGCCGCATCACAGCCCCCGACACCGAGACGTAAACCACAAAAACCCACCCAACCCAACCAAGTAAGAAAACCAACAGCAATAGTCGTCTCCCTAAAAAACCCATCAAACACCGACATAAAGACCGTCTTCAAACAACAGATCAACCCAACATCCCTGAACATAGGCATAGAAAGAATCAAGAACCTGGGCAGAAACAAAATCTCCGTATCTACCCCAACAGAGAAAGACAAAGAAAAACTTCTAGCTGAACTCACAGCCAAACAAACCATCTTCTCAACCGAAGCAGCCCGACCACCCACACTACACATCGTACTTAAAGGAGTACATAACAGCGTCCAACCATCCGATCTGAATAACACCATTCGTGAACAAAACTTCCCTGACATAGATGAAGACTCCTTCAACAACCAATTCAGAATAGTATACAACTTCCAAAACAGCAAACAAACCCTTAAGAACTACGTATGCCGCGTTTCTCCTCAAATCTTCAAAAGCATTCTGACCCAAGAAAAAGTCAAAATTGGCTTCCAGTGCGTAACAGCAAAGCAGTACTCAGAGCTCATAAGATGCTATAACTGCTACGGCTACAACCACACAAGTAAACACTGCACCCACGAACACAACCCACAAGCCTCAACCACCTGCTTCAAATGCGGTGACAACCACAGAGCCAAAGACTGCAAAGCAACCGAGACACAATGCAACACATGCAAGCAGCATGGGATACACAAGCACCAAGCACACACACACAAAACCTTTGGCAGAACCTGCCCTATCTACAACAACATCATGCAACACCAGCTCAACCGTATAAATGAATACATCGAAAATGACTTCCAATGCTGACCAACCATCAACCACCCAATACAGTGTACCCAAGCAACTAAACGGCCTAAAATACGCGCAAGGCATACGCCTGATGCAGTTAAACGTTAATAAAAGCAAAGAGTGTGTCGCTCACGTAACACACTTAGCAGCACAAAACAACATTGACATCGTACTCCTACAAGAAATAACTCTAGATAAAAACCAGAACTTTGGACAACCAAACTACTACCAAGCAGTAACCTCCGTCAACACCCAAGAAGCCCGAACAGCCATCGTCATCACAAACAAAAGCCTCATAATTGAACAAATAGACCTTAATTGTCCATACATCACTGCTTTAAAGCTCCACACAACCAAACCACCCATCATCATCGTCTCAGCTTACCTACCACCCAACAACGCCGAAGCTCGAACCCAAGCAAGCAACTCATTAACCAAGGTACTCGAAGCAACCAAACACCATCAAACTATAATCGCTGGAGACTTCAACGCCAGAAGCACAATTTGGGGAGACTCAACCACCAACAGCAAAGGCACTCTCCTTGAAGAGTTCATACTCGATCACGAACTCACAGTTGAAAACCTCAGCAATCACCCTACCTTCAGCGCGACGAGAAATGATATAACTTGCTCGAGCATAGTTGACCTAACCCTCACCAAACTGTTGCAAACACAAGAATGGCAAGTCAGAACTGATCTCGGCTCGCAGTCAGACCACTACATCATAACCTTTCAGATCAACACCCAAGACAAGAAGACCCAACACTCAAACAAGCAATACACCGTTAAACCAAAAACATGGGAACCCTTCATAAGCAAAGCAACCCAAGCAATCAATGCACTCAACTGGACACAGCATGCAAACACCCTAGCCAAGCAATACACCAAAGCACTAACACAAGCAGCCGACAAAACACTCAAGAAGAAACCCGCAACAATAAACCAAAAGTGTCGTTGGTGGAATGACGAAATCGACAACCAGTCAAAACAAGTAGCAAGAATAAGAAGATGCCTGAAACACTGCAATACGATCCACATCCCTCTACTACGAAGCCAATTACAAGAAGCAAGAGTCAACCTAAAGAACCTTATTAAAACAGCAAAATCAGCCTCCTGGAAAGAAATGACAGCAAACCTCAACACAGAAGACACTTGGAGCTTTGTAAACAAAATAATAAAGTATGAGAAGAAGCAACAAGACAAGTGCCTCGCCACCCACAACAACGAAGCACTTGATGCAAGCGCATCAGCTAAATTGCTGATCAATCACTTCTACCAAGCAGACCAACCAGCCAATGAAACAACCCACCACAAGCACATCAGAGAACAGGTAGATCAACAAAGTAACCAAAACTCAGAGCCCGATTTCAACATGGACGAGGCAAGAACGATATTTACATCAGTCAGCAACAAGAAATCCCCAGGTGATGATGGCTTACACTCCACCCTATGCCAACAAGTACTTGAAAACAACATGCGACTCATAGACCTCTACAACAAGTGCCTCCAGGAAGGCGCCTTTCCGAAGGAATGGAAGCGAGCAACAGTAAGAGTGATACCCAAACCAGGCAAGACCGACTACACAACACCCAAGTCATATAGACCAATAGGTCTACTGTCACTGCTAGGAAAAGGGCTTGAAAAACTCATCCTCAGTCGCCTGAACTGGTATATTGAAAAAGAAAGCGCAATCCACACTAACCAATTCGGCTTCATGAATGGCAAGTCAGTAGACATGGCACTGAAGCAACTCGTCAACCAACTCAACCAGGCAAAGCAAGCAAGCAAACACGTTCTCCTCATCTCCATTGACATCGAAGGTGCCTTTGACAATGCATGGTGGCCTATGATTCTATTCAAACTCAGTAAACTAAACCTACCCAGCAACCTCTTTAAACTTATTAAATCATACCTCTCGGAAAGACAAGTGCAACTAAACTACATGGGACAAACTGAAACGAAACAACTCGAGAAAGGCTGCATCCAAGGCTCCGTGCTTGGACCAATAATGTGGAACCTTGTGGTAAACGACATACTAACCCAAGCAGAAAAGCAAGGCATCTATGCTCAAGCCTTTGCAGACGATATAACCTTCATCATCTCGGCTGACTCGCAAAGCACCCTCCAAACCCAAGCAGACAAAGCAACAAAGCTAGTTGAAGAATGGGCCTCACTTAACAAAATGAAAATATCAGCATCAAAATCTATACAAATGAACATCAAGGGTGAAAACAA